TAGCGACAACATCAAAGGTTGAAATATGCAAGCAGTATGCTATTATACACTCAGAAGTTGGGCGCCAACCGTCATTTTTAAAGGCACAGTCCATCTTTTGAAAAAATAAATAAATGCATCGATGATGGAAAAAGAAAATGCGTATTTTTTTTTGCATTGGGGCCTGAAGAGCATCGCAACCATGATCAGTCGATGACGGCTGCAATGTGCAGGCTCCTGCAGACTGTTCCTCCAGCCCCAGGTCTGGACCAAGGTTCTAATCTTCGGTTGGAAGGAAGTTATCGATAGACTACAAGTGCCGCGACATCACCGCAGTGTTACTCCATCGAGATCTAGGCGTCCCTCTGCCGCAGCGGCAGACAGAATTTGGAGTTTTCTCATTTACAGATCTTCTAAATCAAAACAAGTCACATTTTGGGTCCTCCGGCTGTGTGGATTCTTCTAAACCCATCGCGCCTCTGCCTCTGGAAGTCTTGTCCATGGCTGTCAGTCTTGCAGTGCATCATGGGACTTGTAGTTTTACCACAGCTTGGCTGCCCCTGCTCTAAATAGTTTTGTGAAAGAAAGGCGCGGCTGTATGAGCGGAGCCACACACGGCCTCCCCGAATTCAGAAATATACAGAAGCTTGCGGAGAGAAGCATCTGGCAATTCAGTTAACTGAGGGGGGGGTTTGCAAAGTGGCACCATCTTCCATGTTACACCCCGATTATGGGTACATGCAGCATGGCCGCAAAGGTGGAATTTAAAGAATGCTGCTTTAGACCCCATTCACACCGGGGGGTTCGGATCGCACGGATCCACTGACACGAAGGATCCTATACATTGCTATGGGGACCGCCGTTCATGCGACCGCGGGGATCTGTGCGATCCGAACTGCTCCCTGCACTATTTTTGCCGTGCTGATCAGTGCGTTTTCCATACAGCTTTCAATGGAACCGCGCTGAAATGCAATTAAAAACTCCCAAAACCTCCCTTTTGAGATCAGCGCAGTAACCGCGCTGATCCACAGCCGCCCTGGTGTGAATGGGCTCTCAAGGAGAATTGGCTGACTCCTGGGATTTGCTTTAACGCAGCCCGGAATGCTCCCCGCACCGGAGAAAGGTCTGTGACATGCGTAGATGCCTCCATATAGACATTGCACCCAGATTTGGTAGCACCCCGATCCCTTTATAGTCGCAGGTCACATGCAGCGTCTTGCTCCGTATTGCTCTGCATTGCAGACTCCAGGAACACGGGCAGCCGAAGCAAGTTGTCTTCCCAAATGGCAGATGAATTGCACATCCACTCCAGGAGCCTCTCCTGCTCAGTGCTTTCACGTACTCGCGGGCCCTAAAACTTGGACTTTTCTTGCACCCGCTCCTTGGCTTTTCGCCCACGCGCTAGAACTGCTATTTTTGAACCCGCCGCTGAGATACGATCAGTTTTGCTGCGGTTTTCTCTTTATAATACTATTTCAGTGTATTTCAGTGAAGCATCTTGTGTCCCCGGCAGCAGCGTGACTTCTCCGGGTCCTTGGCCCGCAGTGGATTGTTTGTGTTCCGGCACAGCGCTGTATTAATATTCTGATGATGAGCAAGCTAAATAAGCAGCTGTCTAAGTTCAGCGGACGCCGGGGCCGCCATAAATCTTCCACACTCCATTGCCACGCGTTACTGCCTGTGGACAGCTTGCTGAGGGTTGTACTTAAAGTGCCGGATATGTTAAGGCGGTCACTAAAATCACTAAAATGAATTTGGTTCTTTATCTGCTGGCGGGGCGGATGGTGGGGCAGCCATCTTGGGTGCACACAGTAGGATATCCTACTAGCGCCAGTTTTGGACAGGAGCCAATTGACCTATCAGTATGTTGCACACAAGCGCAGGGAGAACATGTGGACTCCATGCAGATGTCCTGGATGGGATTTGAACTGGAGTGCAAACCGTTAACCTAAGACCTCTAGGAAATATAAAATTTTACCTTGCCGTGTAGAGGTAGCCCCACTGTAAGGGTTAATTTTTTTTACATTTCCTGGAGTTCTTTAATATCTGGTGATCCTACCATAAAGGTCTTTGTTCAGGGACTATCTGTTGTAGGGTGACAACGCTCACTCACCATCTCCCAATTGGGCTTCTGTGTTGTCACCCAGGCTTCTAATGGAGATTACAAGTGGCATGTTGAAGACTTTACACTGGCATGGTCCACTGCTGTCCAACTGAACCTTTGTATTCTAATATGGGGATGCATTTACATTCAGAATGGCAATTTGGTCCAGCAACAGATTCCTGCAGCAAGAATCAGCAGATTCTTGTGGCTGAAATCATAGCGGGCTCTGGACAGCTGCGGTCGCTCTGCCTGTACAAAGCAATGACAGAAGCCGAAGCTGCCCGCAGACAGATTGCATCCAGGGCCGGTAATCTGTTCCAAGCTGCAAGTAACCATTCATTGCACGTGCAGATACATAGGCAGACACCTGCGGGTCCTGATAAGCTCTCATTCCTTTGTACAGGCTGAGCGGCCACAGCTGTCCGGAACCACCTGCAATTCCAGCCGCAGAAATCCATTGCTGGACCTAATTACCAGCTGAATGGGACCTTAACGTGCTCCTTTACCCCTATCTTTAACAACAAACAGACCTTTTAGAAATGTTTAGTAATGATAATCTGCAAACAGATACTTCTAGATAATTGCCGGCTTTGTATTCTTTGCATTCCTTTATTCTCTTTTCTTCCCCAGTCTTCTGACAGCGACCATGTTTACTAAGGGCAGATTACTAGATCTCCATTTACTTCCTGGAGCTCTGGCACATGCGACTAGGACATGTGACCATGCACATCATCCCAGGGGAGGAAAATGCCTTTCCCTGAGATCTCGCGAGATTACAGATGAGTTTGTTTAATGAATCTAAGATGATTTTAAATCCGCATGCAAAGGTGCACTCTGATGTGATTTTTAGTAAAAGGGGATAAAGGTCCGCTTTAAACGTGAATGCATCCCCATATTGGGTTCAACTGGACTTCAGATTCTCTGGAGCAGGGCTAGACAGGCTTGGCACTCCAGCTGTGCTGAAACTACAAATCCCTTCATGCCTCTGCGAGTCATGCCTGTGGCTGTCAGTCTTGCAATGCCTCATGGGACTTGTAGTCCCACTACAGCTGGAGTGCTGAAGTTGCCTACCCCTGCTATAGGTTTTTTTTTTCAAGGAATCCCCCTCCCCATTTGAGGCACAGTGTCGGCCTTGACTTGATGTGTGGTTTGGACCCAAGTTCACCTTCCCATTGTACAGTCCGGTACTAGAACCTCCCTCTGCTATTGGACTGTTGAAAACGGGTGCTAAGATCCAATTTAAACCTACCCTGTGCCCTGCGTGGACCTGCCAGATGGCATTCTCTAGTGTGTGTCATTGAACCGGACTGTTATTGTATATAGCATTCTACATGTGATCTGTATATCTGAAATGTATAACAAGAGAATGTTGATCCCCTTGAAGTATCACCGTCTTGTGTTCAGTGAAGTGACACCCGCTCTCCTTTCTGTTCTCTTTCAGGGGTTTCGGCAAGCAGGGATTCCAGTGTCAAGGTGAGTGCCATTCCTCCTCGTCCTCCTCCCACCACGCCGGGGCTAGTCCGGGATTGCACACACAGCGGCCACTATATTGCTTCACTGCAGAGCTGCCAAGCCTATGATTTATTGACACGCTCCCGTGGCTGTGTACAGAGAGGCATCTCCATGCCGAGGGAATCTCCTGCTGATTGTAATTATGTAACAGATAATGATGTGAATGCTTTTAGAGCCGGTGTCTTCATACAACCTCCGGCCACGCAAAGGCTTCAGCGTTTGCCGCTTTCATTCCTGCAGCAAACAGGGCAAGCTGAACAAGGCCAGCGGTCTACGGTCTGTTTTGCTTGCTGCGACATGAGACATGATTGCCTCCAATTAGGGAGAGGTGCACGTGAAATGAAAACTCCATTATGTGAAAAAGCCTTGCTTGCTTTGTATGTAGAGGTACAGAGAGCGACACCCATGGCGCTCATTGCAGCCCGCTGCTCCTCTGTGCAGCTGTGTTCGGCAGCAATGATAACGGTTCGTCGTTTTTTCTTAGTTTGGGATTACTGGAACAGGAAGTCAGCTGTTTGCATCTTTGCGTCTCCTTAGCTGGTCCCTGCTGCTGTGCCTAACCGCTTCTGGTGTTTTGTAAAGTGCGGTCTCCCCAGCATTCCATTGCACATGCAGCGGGCCGTAGACCTTTCAGATGGCTCAACCTTCTTGTCGTTCACTCCTTTAATTCAATTCAAATAGGCTTTATTGGCAGGACCACATAAATCTTAGCATTGCCAAAGCTTATGGGGAGGTTTTTTGGTGGTGGTGGTGGGGGCGGGTGAGTAGTGGAACATTGTTAGGGGTAAAGGATTGATATGGTGGGGAATAGGCAAGTCCAGGGACATTATCAGGGACCTTTATGTCCACTGCAGTGGCTGGCAGTCCTGATTTTCTAGCTACAGGCGCAAAGAATGATGTCATGGCAGAAAAAAAAGCCCCTATTTTGCACATCTCTGCAATACATGCACATGTCTCCATGTTGTATCCCTTTAAGACCATTCAAGTACAAAAAATACCTGCTGATGCCACAAATCAGAAATGCACATAAAATGGACTAACAATACACAGTATTTTAATGGACTTAGGCCCCATTCACACCACATTCAGATCATCTCCAGACCAGATTATTTCCGGACCCAAAATGCATCCTCCCAGATAGCAAGTAATTGAGCTGCAAGTTTGAAAATGACTTGCTAAACTATTTCAGACTTGCCAAGCTTCACAATTTTGTTGCACAATTACAGCAAGTCTGCATTGCAAGTCTCCAGACCAGAGAGCTTGCAGAGCTCTTGCTAAGACCTGCAGGACTCTTGCTGTAGACTTGCCAAGCAAATGTGCTACAAATTCAAAAAGTGTCAACTAGAACTTGTGCTGCAAGTGTTCTCCAAGTCTACAACTTGCCTGGAATGTGTGCAGCAAGTTGGAAAGAATTAAAATGTAACCCTGCCACAAGTTTGTGGCAAGTTATCCTTGCTATCTGGGCTAATGCATCCCTATGCTATTTCTGGCCTGTGTTCACACCCCCGCAGTCCGTTCCAGACCAGAAAAATACTGCATGTCTCATTATGTCTGGTCTGGATTGCGCTGGAACTGCGGGCAGGTTCACACCATTTTCCAGACCAGATCTGGTCCGGCAAATGGTGTGAACCTGCCCTAAATGGTGTCAGCCCTGCCTGGTTGTTTTTTTGCGGAACTACTGAATCCCTCTCACAGTCGTCATCATCTCTACAGCGTAAGGGCTAAGCCCTGGTTCACACCTAGGCGTATTGCAAAAGCACGTCGGTCGTGCGGGTTTTTTATCGCGATTCGCGGTAAAAAGTCGCGCGACCCCGAAGGCTACTTGGGCTGTATGCCAATGGAAAACGCCCTACAAAACGGCCCAAAGTAGTACCTGTACCTTTTCAGGCGTGGGCCGTTTTTGTAGCACGTTAGGGACGGGCGGAAATACGCCAAGGTGGGAACGAGACCATTGACTACAATGCAATTTATTTTTTTGACCGTTTTGTAGAGCGTTCGTCGAGCGTAGGACGCGCTACAAAACGGTCAGGTGTGAACGAGGGCTAATTGTTTTGTAGTCCAAGATGAGAACTGGGAGGGCCAAGTTTAGGACAGGGTTAAGCAACCTCGGTACTGCAGCTGTTGGGGGAGTGAAAGTCCCATGAGCACTGCGAGACTGACATCCACCGGCATGACACCCAGAGGCAAAGGCATCATGGGGTTTATAGTTTAACCACAGCTGCCAAAATGTCGAGGTGGCCACCCCTTGGTTTAGAGTTGGGAATCCCACCTATCTGAGTGGCAGTGTGGCTTCAACGTGTATTTGCAAGTGTGTGCAACAAAAACCTCAAATTTTAAACCAAATTAGTTTTTTTTTTCCTTGCTGGCTAGATTGAAAGTGTTCTGGGGGGGGGGACGACACCCTTCGTATTGTTTTGTATACAGCCCTGCCCATGTGCACCTTTTCCTTCCGGCTGGTTTCAAAAAGATGAAAGAGACTGCCATTGTTGCCTTTTTCAGCATTCTATACGGTCTCGCCATTGTGAAGATGGTGCAGGCTCTACAAACATTTCCCACGTCCCAGCTTGTTAGGAAATGGCGTTTGCTTAAAGGGAGACGATTGTGTCTCCTGGAGTTGGGGCCAGGTACGGTCAGGCCGGGAGTTGGGGCCAGGTACGGTCAGGCCGGGAGTTGGGGCCAGGTACGGTCAGGCCGGGAGTTGGGGCCAGGTACGGTCAGGCCGGGGGTTCAGACTTTACTCTGTTCATTTGCTGCATGTGCGTTCCAGGTCAGTCCAGCTCATTTATCTCTGTGGAGACGCAGGAGCTATGCACTCTCACATGCTGCTTTATGCAGCTCTGAGTTTGGTTCCACCATGCCTGCGTCCGAGGCCGTGCACAGTTTATCAAAACCAGGAACTGCAGGAAGCGGTGTGTGAGGGCGCACGGCTCCAGTGTCTCCATAGAGTTGAATGAGCGGCCTGCAGGCGCATCAAAAACTGGCCCTTCACGTTGTTGGGGCAACACAATTTGTGTGAATGAGGCCTTATGTGATTGTGGTATTGGCATCCATGATTGTTTTGGACATGTACGCTGGTTTTTATACCGGGCACACACTTGTGCAATGAGTGTCTTCAGAGTGACTATAGACATGCAGCCATGGAAGTATATGGGAATCTCGGATGGTTGCATTTAGCATGCAGGGCTAATGAAAATATTGCTGTAGCCACATGATGGGCAGACCTTGTCTGTGTTTCCTTGCAAATTATATGTTTAAATTCCAGGTTTGGAATGCAGAAAAGGTCCAGTAAACTTCAAAGCTATCCAGAAAGAATTTATGACCTCAGCTGGGGGACCTTAGTGAGAGATGGGGGAAATGTACAAGTCCGTACATGATGTTCTGTTTACTGGGCTTCAAGCAGAGTCTTGTCCCAGCGTTCCAGCTGTGTGCTGCTTGACATCTGATGACACTGATGGTGTTTGGTTGCAGATCACTCCAGGGAAGTGACGGGAAATATCTCCAATTGGTCCTACTCTTATCTGAATCCGAAATAAAAATTGTTGGTTGGCATTGGGTTTTAAAGCTAAACTCTAGGCAGAAATAAAAGTCCCAATTTAACGCACTCTGTAATCATTTATACATCAACAGATGTATTTTTTTTGAATTGCAAGCAGTGTTAAAGTACCCAAATTTGACCTGGTGTCAGCCTTTTGCAAGGGCTCAAGTGTGAAAGAAAGAAGCAGCACAAGGAGCCAACCAATTATTGTGCTGACAAGTGGCATGCTGATAGTAAGGGCAGGTTGACTCCATTTTCCGGGCCAGATCTGATCCGGAAAGTGGTATGAACCTGCCCGCAGTTCCAGTGCATTCCGGACCAGATATAATGAGACATGCAGTATTTTTCTGGTCTGGTCTAGAACAGACTGCGCTGGTGTGAACGGAGGCCAGAAATAGCATAGGGATACATTAGGATGCATTTTGGGTCTGGAAACAATCTGGCCTGGTCTGGAGATGATCTGGATGTGATGTGAATGGGCCCTAAGAGAGGGCAGAGTGACCAGAAGAATGCCAATTGGAGAATGTTTGTAGCAGGAAAGAGGTACAGCGAGGAGAGCTCTGGACTGATGGTGAATTTCACAACAAAGGTTGCGTTTTGAATTTTTCATCTTTTAACGGATTATTTATTTTTATTTAATTGTATTCATGCTGAAGTTCTGCTTCAAGTTTTTGTTACATTGTATCTTTTTTTTATCCTCCCCCCCCTGTCAAATGGTATCTGCTGGAGGATGGAACATACCAAGTCTCTGTCCATTGATGATAACAAAAAAAACCCTGCAAGGTATCTTGTTGGCAGCTGCTTCCTTCCCTGCACTTTCCACACAGCGGAAGTGAAACTGATAAGACAATTGAAGTTTTGTATGTGTGTTGTTTCTTCAGCACCACTGATATCACCAAAATGGTTTGCCTTGTGACATTTCCCCTGACCTTAGCTGTTGCTGGAGACTTTTTGAAGAAGCATTTTGGAAACAGTGTCTATAAAATACAGAAGCTCATTCAGTTAAACTGAACTTGTATCAAAATCCCAAAACCCCAACAAATATAATGGTAGGCCAGCCAGGGGTAACCTCTCTAACTACCAGCGTGCTCCAGTTTTTTACTGGTGTCCTAGGAGGATAGATTTCTTCAACTCCTCTACTGAGACTTCCCTACTTTATGCTTGCCATAATTAAATGTGTCCGTGGCTCTTCCAGCATCATGCGGTTCCCTATGCATGGCTTCCACCTGCTCTCTTGACTTCATGTTTTTGCTTTACCTGGTGGAGGTTGCGGCCTCATTTGATGCCAGCTGGCTTCCGTGATGGACTACAATCTCCAGGTTTAGTTTACGTAATTGTATTGGGATTGTAGTCCATCGGGGGGGGCTTGGAGCGGTGACTACTTTACAACACTCACAGGGACCACGAGGAACACAAGTAGCCGCCC